ATTCATAGGTGCGATCAGAGCTGTACTGTCAACTCCGACCCGACCGCCATCACAATGCCTCTCTACAATGGGAGCCCATATAAGGCAATCCTGGCCTTAAATATTAACAAACAGCACAAAAATAGGGACAACTATTCGAAAACCATGGGTTGACGTTGTGACGTATCACAATGGCTCCCATACAGGTGCACTCAACCAAGGAACTCTATGACAAATCAGCAGAGAAGGGTGCAGTAAGTTCCTCTATCGAACACAATGATGATCCATTTCACCGTTTTTCTAATACCAAGACTGTTTAGTTCTTCATAACGAGGCACACCTTTCGGTTCCGATCAATTTCTTCACGTTTCTATATAGCATTCCATTATTCATTGCCCCGTTATAAAGTACAAAGAGTACTGAGTCGAACCTAGAAAAGGGGATATTTTCAAACATTACGGAGGCTATGACAAAATATCCCCTCTGGGAAATTATGATTAGTAATAAAAGCAAACATTAAGACAGGGATTTTTCCTGCAAATGCCAGTTTCTCTGGTATTCCCCATTGCGAATTACTTGCTAAACAAGAAAAACTAGCGAGTATCGAGATCAAAAAAAGGATTTACTCTTTTGATTGCCGTTTGGAAAATCCGTCGCCGAGAATGGTTTATATAGCAATAACTAACAAAAAACACACTCGTGGTCATACATTGAATAAAGGGACATTTAATTCGGATTACAAGATGAATATTTGTTTTGCTTAATAATCCTGTAATTGGGGGGGGGGGGGGTCTTGTTAGCCTAAGCGAATCAAGTATAACAAAAACAAAAGAGCAACAACTAAAACGCAAACAAAAATGGCATATTGCAGAGGTCAAACTGTATTCTTAATTGCTGACATTGACTGAAATCCCTGAATACCTACGATATCGCAGTGTTTGAAGCACGTTTTAATTTCAATAAAAGGTCTCATAACGAAAAAGGGGCAAATGGAGGAACGTCAGACTGTTTTATTGCTGAAGTTGACTGAGTGTAGGATCGCAGTGCAAGGAAAGGGCGCCAACCCGCATACCAGAAGGAGTGTTACTGGGGTGTCAAAGAATAAATACATATTGAAACAGCGACCATGAACTAAAGAGGTTTTGTTATTTTGCTATAGGTGGGAAACTGATCGTGATAATGGAAAAAATATTTCAATTGGATGAGTCAAAGTGCTTAGGTTGAGAATGTATGATAGTGAGAAAAAGGAGCTGCCCCACCAAACGGGAATTGTGATGACGAAGTTGCAGGGGTGGAGAGTGTTCAAGAAAATAGGAGGGGTGGTTTGGATCATATTTTAGCACCTACATCCCTCCGCTTCAGATTCATTATCGCCCCCTTTTTTGACTCTTAGCGGCTAATAATAGATCTACTCCAATCTTTTTTTTTTACGCTCTTGGTTACTCTTGACTTATTGACTTTTAAGAGAAATCCAACTTTGATAACAAACTACTCTAGAAGAAAGGAGAAAAATAAGAGAAGCAATTTAAATGAAATCGGACAAAAAATAAATAAAGTTTTAACTTTTTGAAATTTGCAATCATTATAGGTAATTGGGTATGGGCTCTTCAAACTAGCTGATTCGGCAATGTCTCTTTGTAGTGGTGAAAAACTTCCCCATTTGTTCTAACACGCTTAAAGACTAAAAAGTCAACATTCCAAAAAATGCTCGACTCGGGAGGATCTTTACTCTTTAGAGGACTATATTAAATATATGCTTTCCATAATATATTTTGAGCAGTGCCCAATACAAAGGGAGAATGAAATAACGCATGAAATAACTTCGCCAAAGTAGTTTACTGAAAAGCCATTTTCGTGAGCAATGTATCATTGAACAGTAATAACAACAATGCAATAGGGAAGTTTTATGACCTAGTTGCCAATTTGCGACTTGACAATTTATCTTCAGTGACAAGCTATCCCCATGGCACTAAATAATGCACAACTTTAACAAAATTTGTCTAATGTTTGTGTATATTTTGTTATATTTATCAACTATCAGATCTCTCTGTCTCTCTCTTTCTCGCTATGTCTCTGTCTATCTGTCTGTCTGTCTCTCTCTCTGTCTCTCTCTGTCTCTCTCTCTCTCCTCTTCTCTGTCTCTCTCTCTTCTTTTTTGTTGTTGGGGAGGGGGGGCAAGCTCCCTTTATCTGAGGTGGCTCATTCTTTTCAAGCAGCTTGCTTTTCTATATCTCTAATGAATCTGAAAGGTTTAAATGCCATTTGAATTCAGCTAACCCGCGGGGGTTAGATCTAATCTCAATCAGACAATAGTCTTATCCTTGTCGAACACTTTATCATTGTTCAAAAAGTTTCCCACGTTCGTTGTTCAAGCTTTGCTGCTTTTATCAACTCTCCGTCATTCAGCATGAAAAGATGTTTGATATTTTTCTTGACTATATCTGGCATATGAGTGCCCTGTCTGGTATTCAGATTTCTTAAAGTGCACCGAGATGGAATTAATACTTAAGTCTACAGTCTTCATTGTAATATCAAGTGTCGCAATATCAAGAATGTCTAAAAAGTTATTTAAAAACAACTAAATCTCAAGACATCTACTGCAACTTTTAACATGCAGTCGACTCTCGATCTCCCCTTTGATTAGTAATTCATCAGCAGCTATCTGTAAATGCTACACACTCAAGCACCACCAATGGTATTGTTAATATAAAAATACAGTTCCAGAAATAAGAGATAAACAAGCAATGACTTATTGAAGCTAAAACATATGAATCTATTTCACTTCTTTATTCATCAGTGTTTATTATTTTATTACAAATTTACAAACATAGAAAAAAATATCAAGAAACAACAACCTATTTAACATTTTTACTCATTCAACATTTCATCCACAACTCAAATATAAATAACATGTTATTACCGATTCATAACGAACAAACAATAACAACAACAAAATCTTAAATAACTCAAACGAAAATTCATTTTAGGGCTTTGTTTCCCCCAATCTAAACTCAAGTAGATTTGAGATACATAACATTTTAAATAAGGGCCCGAAACAAATCCTAAAAAGGTGATATGAAGGGGTAGGGTGCATGAGCTTCCTCAGTTTCCATTAAACAATATATATATTTAATTTCCCACATAGATTTCTCAGGGGGGAGGGGGTCAAACAGCTTACATGAAAGAGTTTAAATTATATCATGCATCAACAATTTATTGATTTTTGATTGGTTGAGAGCTCGTCACGTGACTAGAAATATTTCAACTATTTTAAGATTGCTCTGAAAAAGTAATATATGAGAGTACTATTTGGGAATTCTTCAAATCTTAATTTAATGAAAACAAAATATTTAAAAAAAAATTTTATTACAAATTTACATTTTTTTTTAAATTCTAATTTTTATTTTTGATGCAGGATATACAACAAATATACAATGCCTTCTATTCAAGGTACTGGTTAAAATTATGGGCGTCGGTGACTCCAAAAGTACCATTTGCTTCGGGGCTGCGCCTCTCAGCAAATAGTTCTAGAGTCACCTCTTACCCATAGTTTTAACCGGAACCTCTAAAGACAGTGTATATTTGTATACTATGGGAGGTACTCTTTTGTCACAAGAGCATGTGTCAAGAAAAACAACTGACCTACGGTGACATCTGCATTTCTATTCAACCTGTTCAATGACGGCTGTTATGTAAAGATGATTTTGAATGGAATGCGGTTGTGTCATCAATTTATATTTCATAACGCCGAACGAAAAACACACGTATCAAAATTCAGGGTCACAATTCCGCCGGAACTGTGCTCTAAATTTAGGTTAAAGATACATGTATAGTTATTTCAATTTAACTAAAACATGCCATTAATAGACAAAAGAGAGAGAGAGAGAAAGAGAGAGAGAGAGAGAGAGAAAGAGAGAGGTAGAGAGAGAGAGAGAGAGAGAGGGGGGGGGGGGGGGGCGGAGAGGAATATGATGAAGAGCGTGCATGATATCGACACCAAAATTCTACATTTGAAGTAACAAATACATTTTTCCAATTTTCATGACAGTATGTTCGATGGTAGACCAACGAAATACAGAAAACGTTGCGTTGTCATGTCTATAGAACAATTTTTTTTTCTCATGAAAAGAAATTAAATAAATAGTCGTTTTCTAATTACTAAATGCGACGAATTTTACAAACAAATACGAACTGCCTTCAAATTATCCATATTTTTACACGGTCTGAACAATTTGTTTGGCATTTGTCGGCATTGTGTTCTATCCTCATAATGTGTATTCAGATGTTATAAAGTTTTTTATACTTTTTTTATAAATATTTGTGTGCAGATGTTATAAAGTTAAAGAAACCTATATAAAATACCTTTTTAAACTTTGTCAATAATTTTGACTTTCTTAACAAATATTTTTATTTGGCAGTCAGATTATCGGATTTTTTTGTTTGTGGCTGAATAATTGAGAGATATATCAGTGCTATTAAAAAGCCCCTAAATGTGGAATGTAAACAATTCAATTCTGTGCCGCTTTCATCATGTTCATGAAAGTGTTAACAACTTGTCACATGTGTACACCCGACCGAGTAGGTATAGTAAGTCCATTAATTCAGTTTCATTCTTCACAATAATTGTAAAATAGATAAAGTGACAAATGTGATGTCATCCATCATAAAGTCAACCTATAATTTTCTTCATTATCAATTTCAATCTTTACTTTGGGATAGAAGTACAGGTATTTTATGGAATAAAGCGGTTGACTCTTGGTGCTCCATATATCAATGGACTATGGTTAGAAAAGTTTAACTCAGTCCACTTTCATGCATACCAGCATATTCGTATCCGGACACCTTTTCCATAGGACAACTAACCTTTAGGACAACTAACCCGGACAACTACCCCCTTTGTAGTTGTCCGGGTGGTAGTTGTCCTAGAGAATGGTTGTCCTAGGGGGTAGGTTTCCTAGAACCCAGCCAATTATATAATTATTAAACGAGATATTTTATTTGTTATGGATCAACGGCATTATCTACAAAGTAGTACTTATTATACCATGGACTATCCTAGAACCACTGCCAAGTTCAGGATCCGAATAATGTTCATAATATCCTTGATCAATTGATCCATTCTGACGCCTGTCATCGATGTGAGGCAGTGTGTTATGGTAAAATCTTTCGTTTACATAATTTGATTTCGAAGGAATGGAGGCGTACAGAGCCGAATCTTTATCAAATCCGGGGTTATCAAAGGAACTATTATCGACGTCATCATCATCTTCCGCGTCTAAGTCGGGTATAGGAAGGAGATAACCCATGGAATCGTCACCGCCTGATTTTTCTTCGGGTGGACCGCTCATTTCCTTGGCGTCTTTGCCCCCAATCACAGTCTGCATGTCGTATGCGTTGAACGGAGAGGGCGCATGCGAGTCCAACATGGCGGCATCCCTGCGAAGCCTTCCGCGCTTCTCCGCGGAGGCATTCCTGCGAAACAACACGCAGGCAAAGAGGACGATGAGGACAATGAGGAAAATGGATATCGTCACGACGATTGCGATGATTTCAACAATGCTGACGCCGGCTGAACTGCTTTCCCCAGAGCCTGGAGTTGTAGTTTCAACGGATGTACTAGGCAGAGGGCCTGATGACAGGGTCGAACTTGGGGATAAATCTGGTGAAGGTGTTTGCGGCATAGTAGTGGTTGTAGTGGTAGGTACTGTGGTGCCTAATGTAGTAGGGTTCGTAGTAGAAGCTGAGGTGGTAGAAGTTGTTACAGGTATTGCAGTGGTAGACACTGTTGTAGGACCAACGGTGGTAGGACGAGGTCTAGTGGCAACAAATGGCGGCGTTGGAGGAGGGGGCGGTGGTGGCGTTATGAATGGAGTGGTAGAAGACTGTTGAGTAGTTACAGTGTTAATGTCGGTTGTAAGTGTGCTTGTAGTAGACTCCGGATGTACCAATACGACAACCGAGCTCTCCATGGTGATTTCGTTTGAACCGACTGGACTCAAGGCACATTTGATCTGTGTTCCATTACTTGCAGGATCTAGATTCGAAAGTATCAAGTTACACGAAGTATTGTCAGCCGAACATTCTGTATTCGCAGTTGATGCCATTTGAATTCCTTCAGGGATAATCCACAAGACCCTATGGTTACGGAAGGAAGTCTCACAAGTGTAGTTTGCATTGCCACCTGCTTCAATAAGTTGTAACATCGGTAAAGCCGTTAATAGGCCACTGATAGAACAGTTCCGTACATCACTGGATAGACAGCTAATATGGCTAGAATTACACGCAGCGGAACAGCCGAACGTCGATCCAAGTACTTCCGGTGTGACCGTAAGCTCTAAGAGACTCGTTGTGAACTCTCCACTGATCGAAACGTTCTCGACACCACCTAGTACCATCGAACCCCAAGTAGGTGACCAGGGAGGGTTACCAGTTTGTGTCTGACAAACCAGTGTGACAGTAGCATCCTCATCTGCAGAAGCACCTACATTAAGATCAGCGTGACACGTTGGATACGTGCTATCAGGTTTAACAACTACGTCTATGGCCATTGAGGTTGATGTTGCGTTACCGATGCGGCAAGTGTACTCACCAGCATCTTCTGGGGATGCCTGACGGATGCCAATACCGAAGTTGAAGCAACCGTCTCCGATGTCCACTTCACCTGGTAATAGCAGCCGAGGGTTGTCCACCAACTTGGTGAGACCCATCACTAAAAGTGTTTCTCCCTGGTACCAGGACGCCCTCTCGAAGTTGGCATCACTCACGTTGCAGGAGAGTTGGAGAAAATCCCCTGATACTGGTGAAAGATTGGATGAGGACACAGATAATTCACTCGCGCACTGGGCGGAAATTTCCCGGACGATGAGAGAGAACTGAACCAGCAGCAGTAGAACCCCAGAAAAATATGTTAAGAACCCCATGACAGTAGTGTGATGTGAAACAGGCTTTCCGTCTGTTGAAATTACAAATGAACAAGTATGTAGAAATGTCCCAATAGGCAGTTTTATTGCTTGTCCATTCAAAAGAGTTAGAGTCCAATTGTTATCGCTTTGGAAGACAAATGTTCAAGTAGATACGTTCTCATGAAACTTTTATTCAAGTCTTATTGTCGCCGGCAATCAGGAGTCGTTTTCGGCTCAAAACATTGATGCAAGTTGCACGTCATTGGCAGTCACAAAGAAATATATTTTTAATGATGATCATACATGTTGAGTCACTCTAGTCTAACAAAAATTTTCCAGCAGATGTGTGAATTAACTTGGAGACACCGTGGGATATAATGTAGGTGGCTGGTAAACAAAGACCTTTCTTTATTTAAGAGTCGATTCCAAAATAGCAATCCAAATATTATCACATGACGTCACGTTTTTATGCCACCTCGCATGGTGCATAGTGGTTTGGGCAAGACGGTACAATACAGCGATAGCAAGCTAACCTTGGCCGACTGAAACACCAGCGACGGTGGGCGCTGAAGAAAGGAGTGAAATAACATGGAAATTATACGTTTGTTTGAATTAAAAAAAATGGTTACTGCAAGACGGAAACAAAAAGTTCTAGCATGTTTCTCACTCTGCAAGTGTATGACCTCCTTCGAACGTGTACCGGAATTTTACCATGTTTAAGAGCTGAGGTCCTACCAGAATCGGGTGCATTTGAAAGAAAATAGAAAGAAATAATAGCCAGCCCGATTCCGAAACTGTTACTATTGACTGAAAATTAGATTGAAATAATGATAACGCATAACAATGAAAACAAGTAGTTCCGCGTGGCACTACAAGGTGACATTAGATTATAAAGTCACATCATAAAATCATATAAACACAACAATAGCAACAGGATGAATACAAAATAATTAATACAATATCTGTGACATTGATGGTCATAGGTTTTAATACAACATCATCCCTTTCACAATTTATTCCCCTGATAATGCGCAGAAATAACATGAACATACATGAATATGTATAAGGTTCGTAACACGAGAATGGCCTATGGGGACAAACGTTATCGTTTCCTTATTTTAAAAAGTTTTGAAACAAATCCATTGCATTAAACAAATAAAAAAGCAATTTCCTTTTCTCTTTACCTCTAGCTATGAAGGTCTTGCTGCAATCATTCTTATTTTAATCAGTAAAATCTGGTATTTGTCAATTACAAGGTTCAGTAATTTCATTGCTCGTTGAGATGCAACGTGTCAATTTGAAAGGATACTAATTAAAATCCAAATTAATGATGAACAATGTTAAAATACTTCTTACCTCGAAAGCTCGCTCTCTCTCTCCTGTCAGAAAGATCAGATTGTTTTAAATTTACCCCTTTCCTGCGATACCTTTGTGATAATCCATTTCCTTCAGAGGCGTACACTATAATCATTGTTCAGACCATTGTTTGTCATGGGTAAATTTGGATATGCAAAATGTTACTAAATCCATTCCTAGAGTGTTTTGTTATGCATCTGTTCAGTAAATAAATCTAAACAAATATGTGAATTTGAAAGTAGAAGTATCAATAAGAACTAACTATAGACTAACTACATAAATAGCCACGGGGAAGCTACAAAGGGCAAACATGGGCAAATATAGCTAGTTGTGAGTTGTCCTTATGATTCAAATTATGCGAACTTGCCCCGAATAAAAAATATGATGACTTTTTCTTTCCTTGTCAGAGACCTTAAACGCTTCACTGAATTTTGGCTTAATACATGTCTGTGTCCCCCCCCCCCCCCCAAACTCGACTGGCGCCTCCAATTTTAAAAAAATATATTATACGAAATAACGAACATGCAAATTCTGTTTTGATTGACTAATTATATAATGAATTTGATGTTTTATTTCGTTTGATCACTTTGCAAGCACTTCTGTTTTTCAGGTTTAAATCGTTTATTGGGCGGGAATGTAGAAGAAGAAGAAGAAGGAACTTCACATTTCGTCAGTTTCTCCGAAAAAAAACTCGCTATAATGATTTGCTGCCATCTGTTGATAAGATATTTAGCTACTCATGGTCTCTGAGTGAGCTAATAATAATCTGGTTTTATATAGCGCTTAATATGAAACACCATCTCTAGGCACTTGTCATATATCATTAACCCGATCGTCGGATTCAGTAAAACACAGTGTACACCATCTCCACTCCCTGGGGAGTATTCCTTCGATATGGTCACCGTGAGGGCATAGGGAAATTACTAAGACAAAGGCTTTCGTCATTCTACCATGTCCCCATTTATCTCCTGGGTATGGAGTGGAAAATGTAGATTAATGTATAACCAAAGGAGATTAGTGCCGTGTCGGGGATCGAACTCACGATCTTTGCATTTTAATTCAAGTGCTAAACCACTCGACTCCCTAAACTGTCACCCGGACAACAAGCCACGGTTAACTACCTCTATGACTATAGCTCCAGAAAACTACCTCGGGCAACTACGCCTTAATTTAATACCCCTTAGTAACTATATAAGAGGCAGGCGGCAGGTATCCGGGGGTAATAGTCCGATAGGTATCCTTTTTGCGGGAGTGGGGGGGGGGGGGGGAGTTATCCAGGGATGGCGTCTAAGGAAGTAGTTCCCCGAGGTGGAGTTTCACCCCGAGGTAATGATACTTGGGATAGTTGGCTCAGAGTGGAATTAACAAAGGGGGATGGGAGGGCGTCATCCTGAACAATATTATCTGATCAGCCTGCGTGGCTAGAACCACACGATATCAAGTTGAAATGATTTGATTGTCAGGGCTTTTAACAGGACAGCAGAGGCACCGCCCCCTCTTTTTCTTGTTAGAATGTTTCCAAATAAAAGTGGCTTTTGACCCTTTTTTCAAGTACCTGCTAAAACATAAAACAAACACAGTGAATACTAAGACCGTGTGTGTATATAAAATAACAATATTTTAACTGTGTTCATAAAACACTTAGAGAGGAAATTCAGCGAAAACGTTTAACGAATTTTTGTATTCTTTCTATTTCGTATTAAAAAAACATATAATTTTTACCCCGTCCCCGTATTCCCTTTATGTCCTGCCATTTTAAAGACTTTAAACTCTTATATATGCGTTTCATCATTGTTCAGAATGAGATAGCACATTATATAGTCCAACAGTTCCTGTTGAAGCATTATAATGTGGCAACATTAACAGCGGCATCTTTTTTTATTTTTGGAGGGGAGGGGGGGGGGGGGGGAGTCAGAACATAATTGGCCATTGTGCATTGGTACTTTGGCACCATCACAGATTCAAATAATGAAATCTTCTGTCATGAGTTTGGGGAAGAGTTCAAAGTAACATTTTAATTGTCAAGATGATATATGTGATCGTTTGTGTTGATGGAGCTTCAGAAACATTTCAACAACAGCAGCTGCAAACAAAAAAGTGTTATATCAAATTACGCGCTAATAGTCACACCACCTAACCAACTCCACATTCATGACATGTTTTCCAAATTGACAAACTCTACGTCATTTGGTGTAATGTAATTTTTGTTTGCTCGAGCTCTTGTTGATCTCCTTCAGTTGACGAGACTGGGGGTATTTTGGTGATTGAACATACTATACAACCATTATGTGTGGTTTTAGAAGAGTTATTATTGTTAGAGTTATTATTCTCTTATTCATCCTTTTTATTTGTATTCATTTATTGATTTATTGATTTATTATTGTCCCTTTTTTGTGGGGGGGGGGGGGGGTTCAGGTGCCTCGCTCATGTGTCGCTGGGTTTAATTCATTAACAATACAAATGAAGGTTTTTTTTTATTGAGCCTCCAAGCTACCCTCTGGCCCACTACTGAAAACCATCTCCAATTTCACATAAATCAATGCCAGAAAAGACCTGACAGAAAGAGAAAAAAAAAGTGAACAAAGTTACCTCTGATATTCTACTTTCATCTCTTATGTCTTATGTGCTAAATCAGCTTCAAAATACAATAAGTCCATCACTGCATGCGAACGAATGAAAGCCAGATACATCCCCCTCTACCCCTCCCTTCCAAAAACAACAACAACCCCTGATATACATACAGAAAGGGGCAACAAAACGGGAAGATAAAGAAAAAGAGGAAGAAGTGGAAGAAAAAGAGAAGAAGAAGATGAAGAAGGGTAAGAAGGAGAAGAAGGAAGAGAAGAAGAAGAAGTGGAAGAAGAAGAGAAGAGAAAAGAAGAAGAAGATATAATTAAGCGAACTACGTTTCATCTGAATTCTTCTCTCCCCAATTACCGACCATTCCCCAGAAAGGGAATTCCCCGTTCATTGTGTTTGTAGGCAGTATCTGATTCATTATCAATTCGAAGCAAACATCTCAAATGATTAATTCCCAGGCAAGCAAATAAGAGAGATTGTATATCCTGTAGCTGAATCGAGGGGGAAAATTCAGAATAGGAAGATCAAGTGTTTATCAACAAATAGGGAAGTATTCTTATTTCCCCGGAATAGATCATCAATAACTTACATCGGGGTCTAGATTATGTATACCATTTAAAAAGAGAAGGTTAGAGTCTGCTAACGGCCGACTTATTTGTAAGATCTCTCATTCTTTTTATTCCTTGGTAAAAAGAATACGCCAGTTGCACAATATCACATAAAGAGGATTTCTCATGAAATTGCCTCATATATTAAAGTAAAAATAGTTAAAAACTTTGGAATACAATTTTATGCCATAATGTGTGTGAAGTCCCGTGTATCCATCACAGGGGGCAGTGCGTTTACTGTGTTTGTGATCTTCAGCAAGACAGAATTAATTTATTGCCAATCCGATAATTCCAAAACATCACAATACACATTTATTTATATTTATAAGATAATGACGTGGATCCTAATCAAATGATTGGTTGAAAGCGTACACGTGACCAGGCATTCTTTTTGCCTAACGCGTAATTTGGATAATATGACCGGTCATTATTCAATCAAAATCATGTTATAAAACATCATTTTATAAAACAAACAAAAAATATAATCTTATAAAACAAATAATACACTCAGTACTTTCAAAACATTCCAAACATCCTCGGCTATCGCCTCGGGCGTGTTAGACTGTTCCAAAGGTACCTTGTGCGGGTAATTCTTACTAATGCCCTCACTGCTGTGTATTATTTGTATATCACTATACATCATCAAACATTCACGAGAACTTCAGGATTTTCCATTTAACAAGAGAATCGTATGACCATTACTCAATAATGCCTTCAAAGTATTTCATTTTAAAATAATAAAAATCCATCAAGGGATTCCTTTAACATATTTTTAGATTTACACCTCTACTATTTAAAAGCCCATCAATTGTGTAAAAAGGGAACTGTCGATACAACTCATACATTTCCTGTTTCATTATTTCAAAAGTTGTATTCATTTACTAAAAAGGAAGTCTCGCATCTGTCAAAACACCGTCTGTATTTTCATATTGACATTTGGATAGTTACATTTCTCAACCTTTATAGGAGGAACTGTAAAGTGTCAGTTTCCATCTTGTTATAGTCTGTCGTTAAACAAATGG